ATCACTGTATGATTTGATCAATTTTTATATTAAGATTTAACTGTGAAATGAACCTGGCATAAAATACTTCAACGTTTCTTTGGAACCATTTTTATTCGGTACTCCCGTAGTGTGTGTACCTGGTTAGAGTTAGGCCACTATTTCATTCCGGTTTTTCTTTAGTTCGGGGACTGTCTGTGTTAGCCAAGTTAATATACCCTCTGCCCATAGGTTTTCGTTACCTCCATATTGGTACACACACACTTATTTTTTCTTTTTTCAGGAACCATCTCAGTACTTTATCTTTGGGTTTTAATCATAATCAAGGCATCCCGTTGGGGATTCAACATGTCATTTGATGGAGTCGCCCCATCCTCAACAGGATTTCGTTTCACTTTTCCTGCACTTACTGGGATGTTATCACTTGCCTTCTTTCTACACAAGTATGTATAATATTTCTAGAAATAGCTAAATTTTGGACCCCACGGAATATTTGAAAGACGAAGAAAAGAATGGCCTTCTAGCGATTGGTCCAGTAATTTCAGAGAAAAGAGATTTTTACCAATAACAAGAATTTAACAATCCATCTGATTTATATGTAACCTACACTCAATGCCTGATAATGACATCAGTTGCTTTTTCTTTCAGTGCAGTAATAACAATACTACGAAACAACAAACAGCAAGAGAATAACGTTAGAGACTTGTCCATTGGATATTTGCTTGTTATGGTCACATATATGTTTGTTGGGACCATATTCTACTCCACGTTTCCTCTCCCGAAGCATTGTATTTCATCGGTGAGTTATAAAATTTGTGGAGCGGCCAAGCGGGGGGAATTGATTTTGGTCACGCTATCATGTAGACTTGATATCGGTGATCAGCAAACTAAGTTTGAACATTGACCGTAGCGCACAGGCTGTAGAAGATTGTCACATCAATTTAAAACTATGACGCAACAACAAATGATGAAGATGAAACCGTTCTCAAGTAATCGATTTAGAACTGACATGTGCCATCGCTTACGTTAATAACTATGAAACAAACGTCATACAACAATTTTTGTTTTCATGATTTAATAAAAGTGATGCTGTTCTAAGGCCAAAAAAATTTGTTTGCGGACCGCATTTGGGCCACAGGCCGCCATTTGCTGACCACTGCCTTACACGCATTGCTAACTATCTCTTGTAGAAGTAGAATGTAAACAATGTCTGCATCAATGAAAAACTTGCTGTTGGATTTTTTCGCAAATCTAATATTTCTGGGCTGGCATTAGATATGTTTTGAGATTTCCATATGCGGCACTAACTGTTAGATTAGAGCTGGCATTATTACTAATTTTTTATCAAGGAAAATATGGCACTCTCTTTTTGCAATATTGATGAGTTACTGAAAAAGCATGCTGATTCGCATGTCAGTAGTTTACCATCTCTTTTCTTAAGCCATAAAAACCATTATAAGACTGGTATCACCAGGTCTATGGCGTATGGAGTCATATTTTCAAACTTCAAGCAGTTGGAATTGGTTATAATGAAATTAACCAAAGCAATTTCAAGTACAAATATAAAGTTTTTGTGGTTCCAGAATCAAAGTTCTTTGCTAACCAAGAGTCTGGCTCATTTTTGCATGTCACTATGTCAGGAGTGAGTTCAAAGCCCTGGGAATTACTTCTGGTACTCTCATGCAAAAGATCTGGTATAGCAAACAATAATTAAAATCATTGTTTTCTATTTTGCTTTTAGAATCTGCTGGATAACCTTGCTTCTGAAGATCCATTAGCTGTTGGAGCGAGAGCATTGCTATTATTTCAAATGATCACTGTGTTTCCTCTACTTGCTTACATCTTTAGATTACAAATACTTCATACCTTGTTTGGGAACACATGGCCTGGGTGAGAAACTTGTAGCAAGAGACCACACACCATTGGCGTGTGGTCAGTTAACCTCGTGCATTATTGTCAAATAAATTCTTTTTTTATGTGGAATAAACAACTGTGTTTTAAAATATGAAAATGCGAGGCATTTTCCATCCGTGAATGTGTCATTTCAGTTGTCAGGTAATTGAAAGGACGATTCCCAAACTCTTAAAAATTTTCAAACAGCCTGATTAAAAATTGTTGTATTATTTAATGTAAACTAAGCTTCATGTCATCCTATATGTTGTAATAATTCTTTTTCAGTTGGCAGCACGTACTTGTCCTAAATGCAATATTTGTGACCTTCTGTGTTTTGATAGCGATGTTTTATCCTCATATTGGAGATATTATAAGGTTAGTATCTAGATAACAATATATACCTAAGCCAGACATCTAATTAGGACTTACATATCCGGGGAGGGGAAAGCTGATTTAATTATATGACGTATCATGGCCTCTCGTCCGGTCACCAGTCCATGCCCGGTATGGGATTAGTTAGCCAGTTACTTGCTTCAAATGCATGCCTTTATTAGAGGAAGCTGTAAAGGATCAGCAGTTACCTGAACCACCCTATGACGACGAGGAGTCTAGCAATCCACTTCTCTTGTTGAAAGTAAAAAACGAACTGAATGGACTGATTCACTAAATAAAAATATCTTTTTCTTCAGATATAGTGGATCTCTATGCGGCTTAGTCTATGTATTCATATTGCCCGTATCTGTACACATGTTCGCGATGCACAAGAGAAACAATTTGACACCAATTTCAATTATTTTACATTCTATTATCATTGTTTTAGGCCTGGCCAATTTTATTGCACAATTTTTAATAACACCATCAAAGTAATTAAGTTGGAAATAAATCAAAGTCAAATGCTTTGGCGTAGATTATCACTTCCATTTGTTTTGAATAAATGGTGGGTAACTGAATATAGATCAATATTTTTATATGCTAAAAATATGGTAAACATACCTCTATAAATACTGCATCAGTTTGTTAAAATGGTTTATTTCACTGTTTTTATTTTAATATAATCCATGTACTAGCTAATTTTAGATAAATCCCAAAGCATAGATTATGATGTATTTCCATCTGAGATTTCATTGAAGATTTTTAACTACGTTGATCACATGAAGCCTATTTTATCATCATTATTTTTTTGTTTTCTTTTTGAAATTCTGCCATTCGCAGAAACACTTCATATTTCTTTTTGTAAAAAGTTTGCAGTTCTTGTTGAGGTTTTATTATCTTGCCAAGGTGTGACATTTTATTCATCATTTCCTGTGTATATAATGCACTTTATTAATAAATTGTACGTACTAATGGTGAACAAAAAGTGTCATTACCTTCAAACTATGATTTCCTGAAGCACATGCACCTAGAATCGCAGCCCCAAGCAGCACAGTATCAGTCTTTCTGCTCAAAGCAATGGGAAGACCTGTTAAAAAGAATTTGGCTCGATAGGGAAAGGAAAAATGGCTGTGTTGTAATTATTATAAATGTACCTGTTGCATTGGAATGGATCTGTGTGAATAGAGAATTTTTTTGCAATCCTCCAGAAAGAAAAATAATATTGAAAGAGTGACCTCCATCTCTCATTGTATTGAGTATGTGAACAGTTCCAAGCTGTAAAACCAAGAGATTATTCCCAGGACAGGGCATTTCTATACAGCCAGCCACACATAATGGACAATGTATGCTAGCTACTAAAGATAAATAATCATTATGGCAGTTTCAACTAGGTAATATTCCCCGTCAGTTCAGCTTCTGATTAAACCTATAGCCTGCTCTCAATGGTGACAGGTTCCAACTACTCTGCGTGGAATGTTCTAATTCCATGGGGAAATAGTATGTACAACAGGATTGCCGGACTCTGACATCATGGGGTAGTTAAAATAATATCTAGCCAGTTACGACCTCCTCCACCATCGAGTCCGTGTGAATAATATCTCTGGAAAATACTAATGTCTGGGTGTATTTAAAAAATCAATCACATAGTAACATAGAATTCCCCAGGCTCAATAAAAGTGAAATGAGAAGAACTCACTGCCAAAGCTTGTAGAGTAGCCAGGTAAAGTAATGCTAATCCATTAATGCTCTTATCCAATGTTAGACCACAAATCATTCCTGTCATAGTTGGATCAGCGAGAGGAGATCGATTACCATGAAAATCTGGCCAAACATGAATATTCCTTGTCATTATATCTATGGAGTCGTGACCCTCTTTGGATGCCATGTCATGGAGAACATCGTTCAATATGCTGTTCATGTGCCGATTTCTAAATTTTTTGTTTTTATTAGAAGAGTTTATCAATTTGACAACCGGAAATAAAAAAGAAAACTAAATAATGAAAATTAAGTAGATTTTGGCATAGACTTTTTTGCTAGCAAATATTGTTAACAACTTTGATGCATGCTTCTAATAGACTGTTAGATCAATTAGTAATCTTTCTGCTTTTCAAGTTTCTCTCAAAAATTTTGACTTCCTTTATCAACATTGGAAGACCGAGGTTCATTCTTCAGGGAATTTGAAAATAGGATATGATTTATGTATTTATCCCGGGAGAGAGGAAAACCGATAAGACGGCTTAACCATATGGCGAACCACGGCCTCTCGTCTGGTTACCATTTCATGTCGGGTATGGGATTCTAACCTGCGACCCACGCAGAATAACCAGGGTGCTGTAGCGAGCGTATTCCTAACGCTTAGCACAATTAGCCACACCGCCGCGCCAATATGACGTGGGCGTGGTACCAGTAAAAACATGCCAAACTCGAGATGTGGATGGTGACGCATCCAGAGCCAGCCACCAGGCCAAGCCAAATAATTGATGCCGAAAAGGCAATAACACATCAAAACATATACAAGTTGATTATTTCTATATAAATGTAATGTGATGCAAACAAGAGCTGGTTAGAAATCACAATGGCTCCACAAGGAGCCAAGCATATCAACCTGCCCCAGATCCTAATTACTTTGCGCCTCTGAGCTGGGCTACGGTTTTTCAACCATTGATGTTTATTTTGTATGACCCATGAAACATCAGCACAAATTTTAAAATCGATCTTCGAAGATTAGATACAAATCTTGAAACTTTAAATTAATATTAGAAATTTATTTGAAAAAAATTTTGAGCCTGGAACATTAGATAGATTTTATCATATGTATAAGGTGTTGGGAAAATATGAATGCGAAAAAATAATTACGGTTTTAATTATAATTATATTTATTATAATTATGATTAGAAGCTGGAGCCACTAAAATTTTCGGTAACTCCATCCGTTATGCTAACTAGGCACCCAGCTCTGTCAAAATGTCATGGCTTCAGCACTCAGCCCTGGTTGCAATCAAATATGTCAGGCATGTTTGAAGGCGAATTTACCTTTCAATAAAGTTGCACAGTAATGACATAACAGAGACATACATAGATGAGAATAATCAGTGGCAAAAGTCTGCTATAGATACCGTAGATACCATGGTTCATGTTGAAAACTCCTTAATACACACAAATTAAAGTTATAGATTTCTGGAGAGTAAACATGAGAAATACCAAGTAGCCTACCCGTTTGTCATTGGATTTGATTAAAAAGACAGATTTGTTAATTATTTGAATATTCAAACACATTTTATGTTTCACTATATGTAATTGAGCAATCACAACTTAAGGCTTAAGTTTTTGTTATTCAATTTTAGTCATGCTAGAAGTAATGATGCTTTACAAAACTGAGCATGAGTAATTATTCAATCATGTCATGCAATCTACCTATGGTAAAAATCTTACTTCTCAATTGAAATTTTTTTCAGTTCTGCATATGCAGGGTGTGATTGCACAACATGGTCTAACTAAAATAAGAAGATATCCGAGTGAAAACTCGATACAAATATGGTATAGTTAATTCCTATCAAACTTATACAAGCATGATTATAAAAGGGCTTGAAAACACAGTTCGGAACTTCCATATATAAAGGTTTCATTATGCACTTACATTTTTGAACAGGCAGATGAGTTCATATACCAGAGAATAAGCCCATAACTAGTACTAGATGCCCAGTGTTGGGAGGCACGAGTCATTGGTTTGAAACCATTTATCGAAGATTTGAAATGACTTGTCACTCAAGGTCCAGCGGCTTCCACTCAACACTGTAGATCGCCCGGTAACAATATGTAAATGTCTATGTTCACCAAAAATTCAATCAAGTGCCAATAACTCTATTTCTTTGGATCACACTGACTGAAACATGCAACAGTCTTTCTATATGTACATTTGATGTAAGATTTCAAGTGCTTCTGCAAATGTAAGTGCTTTCGAATATCGATAAGAGTCTCGAAGTGAGATTCTTAAATGCCGTTTTAGATTATATTCTTTTGTCACCGAAACAACTTGCCCACATATCAAGCAATCATTGTGGTATTTTCCTACCATATCCAATTAAAAATCTGTTTGAATTGGTCAGCTTACTTTCAAACACATTAAATGCGTTGGACCTCCTGAAGTATGCGCACCAAGATGGCGCACAACCTGAACTCAGGTTGTGTACCAGGTTAGGGTTCAAGTTGTGCGACATCTTGGTGCGCATACTTCAGGAGTACCAATGCGATTTTCTAATTACACCAGAGCAAATGCAACGCGGGCCACAGTTAGTGAAGCTGCAGGCCTGGGTTTGGACCACCTTGCTTTAGATATTAGGACGAACCATCAGGCACTGTTGCCAAGATGAAGGATAATGGGCCTTATAATTTATTTCTATAACAGTATTTTAATAGAAATATAACTTGCCAAACTTGCTACTGCACTTTGTCCTGCTTCATTCAGCCAATATTCTGGAATCATTACCGAGCCATATGGTCCCCAAATTCCAGGTAAAAACAATGGTTTTTCTGAAAGCTGAAATCGAAAAAAAATTGTTTTAATCTAATTGCTCATTGGTTGATGAAGCGTTAGGATCACGCTTGCTATCACATCCCGGATTACAAGAGAGTTCGCAGGTTCAACATCAGTGAGTGATAATCACGTGCAAAATATTTACAAGACTTCTCAGAATCACAGGGTGGTTCATATAACGGTGCACCTAAAGTTTTCGTACCAAAATGGCGCACAACCTGAATACAGTATGTGTACTAGGTTAGGATTGGTTCAGGTTGTACGTCATCTTTGTACCAATACTTCCAGAGCGCCCATATAACTGCTGGATAGTTACGACTTTTTCCATCATCAAGTCCACGCATCTGAAACAAATAACTATTTCCATACTCTCTAGCAGTGTTCCCTCTAAGGTGTGCGCGTGTGCGCGCGCACACAGCTTTCAGAGGCTGCGCACACGCATAGATTTACTGCGCACAGACGTATTTCGATGTAATGTAACAATGTTCTCGGTTGGCAGGTTGAGAAAGTTTGTTGTTGGCCCACCCATTACCCAGTTAGAACGCCAAAATTTCTTAATTGGTTTTTGCACAAATATTAGTCATTTCCAAAAAAGTGCGCACACACCGAAATTTCTGCGCACACATACTACAAAAATTAAAGGGAACATTGCTCTCTAGACATGAACTGGAAATCGCAAAGCTGTGATGCGCCATATGATTATGATGTCTCATCAACTTCATCTAAGCTGAAACAATATGAAATATCTTGGTGCTCCAGAACTATGCGCACCAAGATGTCACACAACCTGAATCCTAACCGGTACACACATACTATGTTCAGGTTGTGCGCCACGCCATCTTGATGCGCATACTTCTGAAGGTCCAGAATCTTATTCTCAATAAAGCAATATTAAAAATATAAAAAATGACTTACTGCCATATGGCAAGAGGATGTTCCAGATATCAGTGCTATTCTGTTAGTGATCTTAGTTGTATCGAATTGTAAATCACTGTCTTTTAAACTGCACCCAATTGTTCCTATTCCTCCTTTAAAACAAATTCAAATGGTGCTCAGGTCTGCATATATATGCAAATGGCCAATGGAGTGCGATGAAATAACAGAAAATTTTGATTTTAATCTAAAAAATGATTTCTTGGAACTATAAAAAACTAAAGAAGCTTCCGGGTTATTTGAAAAGTATATATAAAGGTTTGCATACATGTTATATGCAAGAGGAATTCCAAAGTCAAATCAAAATGCGTCGACTGTCTACCTATGTTAGTATTCAAAAGTTGTAACATCCAATATTGTTGTTCATTGTTTATCATATAATATATTCTTTATAATAATTGGCTTGGTGGTTGCCATCAGAAATCGCCATTTCCGAATACTAAACTATTCCGAATACATTCTAAAATATTGTTTTCGGATCTGGAATACCGAATACATTCTAAAATCGAAAATAACACATTTTTGTTTTAGTTTATAAAAACCCAGTAAAATAGGAAATAAGCTTCAATAGAAATATCAGAATAAAGCCACAAACCAACAGTATATGTACACAAACTTATTGATAGTTTATAGCTATTATGTTTAGCATATTGTTAAGTCTGGAATTAGCAATAAGTTAGAGGATAGATGAACACCACTGCCAGGGCGTAGCCAGGATTTTCAAAATCGAAAATTCCCATGGCCGCCTGTAACAGCCACCGCGATTCCGCGCTCGTTAGAAGAGCCGTCTTTACTGCGTATAATGATTATCCTGTCAGTAGAATATTCAATCATGACAACTACGAGATTCGAAAATATCTTTATATATTAATTTAATGTGTCCAACGTAACTCGCGGTTGCTTCTTATTACGTCAAAATACCACCGCAATATGTGGCCTAAGAGTACGAGATAAACTGCCTGATGTATTTAATTTTAATACATATTTTTGCAATGTTGCCAACTCGTTATCGCCGTTAGAAAAATCTCAATAACTGATATAAATCCTGTAGACTAGAGTACAACTTCATTTGATACAATGAATATACTACATAATATACATATAAATGTTAGCAGTAAATTAAAAACACATATTCATCGCCGCGATTACGCCACCTGTTAAAAGAGCCGACTATAACAACGAATATATATTTTTCTGCTGTGCAAAGTGATGAATTCCTGACGCATACGGGCATATTTAAAATGTCTTGCTTTATTATTAATTTAATTGTTTTCAATTTAACCTGCGGTTGCGTCGACAAAATCCGTCGAAAAATCCATAAATCTGCTGTAAAACCTTCGAGTAAAATTTATTTCAGCACAATAAAAATTGATCGAATATAATTTAGATTAATTATATTATATACATCCTCACAACCCGGGAAAAAAATCGCGTTTCAAACCTTGTATAACGTTAGCACGAAAATTTTCGACAGCAATTTGAAGTAATGGAAAATCAGGCAAATCCCGCCCTCAATTAGTGACGATATGTTCCTAAACGCGGAACAAACGTGGGGGAGGCCCACGAAATTTTGCGATTTTCACTTTCTAGAAAAGCGTGTTTTTAAACTGTCGCGGGCCTCAATAAAACCTATAATATTGTTTACGGTTTTATTTTCAGTATTTTAAATTGCCGCTTTTCCATCAAAAAATTTGCGTTGTCTTCAGATACTCGCCAAACGTATTCACCGGATTTACAATCCCGTGCGAGTACAAAAATAAAATCATTGTCATCGTTATCGTGGAACAAATTTGTGGAAAATAGGCGTTTCAGAGAAAATAACACAAACATAAAGGCGTTTACGGCCCAATTTTATGTCAGGATGAGAGAGAGAGTGAGATTTATTGCCACAAAAACAAAATCAACACTAATAAAACAATAATAGATAATAATATAATGAAGAAAATATTTCATCAGTAATAAACAGCGACTGATTATTGTCTTGTGCGAGTCGGTGTGCAGGACCGATTAAGGTCATCTAGGCTCCCGACCCTTTTGTAAATGCTGTATATATGGTTATCATGGCATAATATAGTACTCATATAGTACATATTTATCCCGGGGGAGAGGAAAGCCGATAAGACGGCTTATCCATATGGCGAACCACGGCCTCTCGTCGGGTTACCATTCCAAGTCGGGTATGGGATTAGTTATATTGGTGGTGGAGGAAGCCGTAACCGACCAGCGGTTACGTGAACCACCCAACGACGGCGAGGAGTCCAGCAATCCTCTCGCACATAACCATCCCTGCATGGGATTCGAACCTGCGAACCCACGCAGAGTAATTAGAGGTGCGGTGGCGAGCGTATTCCTAACGCTTTAGCCCGTTAAGGCCACACCGCCGCGCCGATTGCTGGACTACCTGGTCTGTTGTGACTTTCTCCAACATCAAGGTCATGTCTGAAACTAACAGCTGCTGGCTAATAAATAATTACCGGTGACTAATAACCTAACATGAACTGCTGACCAGACGAGAGGATGTGGTTCATCAGATGATTGAGCCATCCTATCATCCTTCCCCCAGAACAAATGTGAAAAACCCACCCTATAATATAAAATAGATGTTCAAGCCAAAGTAAGGACTATTTTACAAACCACAATGTGCATCAATGACGGATACACCAACAGGGGTGCCAATATTCAGATTAGTGTCTTTTGCTGCTTCCTCAGAAATCCCATTTCTGACAGACTGTCCTAATTGTCGAACATCAGAGCCTAAATCAAAAAATCCTAAATCAATACGGTCCTATTTTGAGAATAGTATTTTTACTACTATGAGCGAACAATGTTGTATATGCAGGATTTCATTGAGGGGGAATTTATAAAGTGAAAATTTCTGAAGTCATATTTTGTAATCCACGCAATGAGAATTCTACTGCGATGTCGTTCTTAGAGGATTACTGTAAATTCTCATAATATTATAAAATGTATGTTCTCATAAATAGGCGAGTAAACTTCCTAAGTCCCTACACAAAATTTATCATACCAATTTTTCTGAAATTGTCTTCTTTCAATTCTGACAGTCCAATTTGTGACCAGAAACTCTCACTCCATCCTTTGGTATTAGAAAATGTCCATTTGCATACAACTGAACAAATTGATCTACTGCAAACACCAGTAGCTTTCCAAGTTAAAAAGTCTGGAAGATCAAAGAAATGAGCTGCTTTCTTCCAACAATTATCTGGAAGATTCTGATAAAACAAAATGCAAAGCTTGAATATATGGACATGGGGTCATTTCCAGTGCTGATAGTCTACATCGGGTCCGCAACTACTTTTTGACCCCCAAAAAAATTTTTCTAATTTCTCACGACCCAAGCATTTGGTAAGCATGTAATTAGTCATCGATTCTAAGACTATCATTGACACTATCAATTTTCTTGCACAAAATTTTAATAAACTTAGCACATAAAATCTCATTATATGTCTCATCAAGCAATTCCACACAGCTACCGCTAACCTTGCATTGCTACAAACAATACAATTGACTATGTAGTAGGATAATAACAATGCAAACAACTACGTTATGAATGTTTCCCCAAATTTGATCCCTGGAAAATATACTATACCTGTGCAAAATTGTCGGTACTTTTTTCAAGAGTGGTATTTCAAGTCGGCGCCTATAAACCGGGTATATGTTTCAAACCATCATATTAATTCAAAGCATTCAACAAACTTTCATTTAAATGTACCGGTAGATATTTGAGTTAGACATTTATTTACCAAATATAAATAAAAACACAGGTCCACTTTTTATCCAATAATATTTTATACAAACTTCAGAATTTAATTTCATCTTACTTGCTTTAACCACAATAATTTAGGTGGCTGCATTTCGAGTGATATTTTTCCACCAACATACTTCAGAACTTCATGATTTGTACTATTAATAAAATCTGCTTGATTTCCAGCACGATGATCCATCCACATAATCACATTTCTTTTAATATCACCTTCAAAATAAAAGTCGTAAAACACAAAAAGGAATTCATTATTTACAGTAATTGAAAGTAAGATTGCTTCAAATTAATTGCCAGTGTCAGTCACATGGCACGACGGGCGACACATCATGATGAGCATTAGGAATATGCTTGCCCAGTGCACGTCTGATTACCCTCGTGGGTTCGCAGATTTTCTCCCTCCACCATCAAGTCTAATCATCTAAAACAAATAACTGACTAACTAATCCCATATCGAACATGGACTTGGTAACTGGACACTAGGTTGTTGGACAGCAGAGGATTACGCTATCTTATCGGACTTCATCTCCTCGGGATAAAAATGATACCGGTAGTTATCCTTTATATTACAAAGTGCAATAACAATGGAGAAATAAACATTAATACTCAATGCAATTAATTATTAAATGAGACTGGATGTGAGTCATTGTATACAACTTGTTAATCTTACTATACACTTGGAATATGAACCAAATTAGACGTCGATCAGCACTATTCTGTGACTGGCACCAATTTTTTGCTCTGTTTTCTTTTACTCTATTTATGTTAGGTGTGAATATTTTTATTATTAACACCTAACCTAACCTAAAAAATAGATTGATACATTAGTGGTGGGACAATATCAGGTTAGCTCATTGATTGTTCCAGGATTTCAACTTTCTAGTACTCACAAACATACCTTCACCATTGACTGACAGAGGATTAAAATTTTCATCGAGCACAACTAGTGAACATGTTGCATCGAATCCTATTCCTTTGATTTTATCAGGTGAAACATCTTTTGTAACATTCTAAAAATGTATGATAAACAGTGTACAGAGTAGTTGTGATCTACACTCACAGCTGGAAAATATATTTTGACAAAGTTTTAGGTTTTATGTGCTCTTTTACAAATCGAGTTACGCACCGTGCTAAGAATTAGGAATATGCCACCACACCTCTGATGCCAATAAATTAACCAATCGTTTATTTGTGAGAGGATCGTTTATGTGTCTGAGGATTGCTGGACTCTTGCCAACGTAGTATGGTTACATAACCGCTGGTTGGTTACGGCTTCCTCCACCACCAAGTGCATGCATCTGAAAACAAGTAACTGGCTAACTATGCCCATACCGACATGGACTGGTAACCAACAAGAATATGCAGTTTGCCATATGATAAAGCAGTCTTATCGGCCTCCTTCTCGGGTCTCATGTAGTTTCGTACCTAAAATACTTCTAGTGGGCGTAGCATAACAATTTTTTCGCGTGTCAATCCTAATCCCCACCTGACCACACCATCCAAAAATTATGTCACTACGACGTCACAGTGACGTAATAGAGTCCTTCAAACTATGCGAACTGTCATCCAAGACGCACAGACGAGAACCTGCAATCGAACAGCCATTTCTCTCGTTTCCTCGTCGCAACGATCCCGATAGGAGATAGATCGCTGATGTTAGTCAGTTCTTTATCGTCGGCGCCGATGCCATTTCGGGCGATCGTACAAGAATTTGGCAAGCTCTATGACGTGATTGTGACGTCGTAGTGACGTAATTTTTGGATGGCGTAGTCATGTGAGGGTTAGGATTGGCATGTCAAAAAAATTGTTATGCTAACTAGAAGTACGTTAGGTACGAAACTACACGAGACCCCTCCTTCTCTCGGGTTAAATTTGTGAATTTTAACCTTATCTAAATGCAAAATGCACTCCAAGTCACAAAATATCTTATGCAACCGAATATCCGCTGCACAACATAGACTATTAGCAAATATTTTTGTACTCTGTTGCAATAAATAATATACCTTGATCATATCACAAACACACTCCCAAATTTCTGCAGAAGACTGTTCATAGTGATTAGGAAGAAGATTGTAGATGTTCAGGTCTTTTGTTTTAGTTTTTACAGCATTTCCTACTTCATCAAACATTGCAGCCCGTACACTTGAAGTGCCCACATCCACTCCAACATAGTAAACTTGACCCGTCATCTCCGCAACTCTTGAATAATTACCAATCCAAAGTAGCTAGTGGTGACAGTTGGACAGGACTCACAACCACAAGCTAAAAAGTGGGGAATCCCCGGGCGAATGGGTGATTCCCATTCCCGTTGATCCTCGCTCAACGGATGTTTCTCTGACTTCTTTATAAATTTCCATAGCGTAAACAGTGTATGGACACATGTTTTAGGAATTAATGCGTCAGTCTAAAATTCGTTTTTATAACTTTGCAATGTTATATGTACAAGGAGTTTGTTACAAATTTATACAAAAAACGTGACGGCGCAGATTGGACAATCCAACCTTCGTTCGATTCCAGGGGCTTAGTAATAGTTTAAACGCTTTCAATACCATTGTGGGGGAAGATAATAGGCATTAAAAATAGCTGTAAATCCTAGTAAAATATCCTCTATTCGTCTTTGCTTCAAATAAAGGAAATCATTCAACTTATTAGAAAACTTGCACTTTGTTTCTGGCATTTTGGTGATTCAACAAGTGGGTGTTGAATTAACGCTACTTCATAGGCTAGGCTTCATAGGCTACTTCATATCATAACTATGACATAACAATTTTTCACTCTATCTGAACTAGTGAAGTGAGACGGAATCAGTGATAAATCGGCTGCCTCCGTTAAAAAAAAATTGTATTAGTATCAAATAGAAAAAATGACTGTCATGCTGCAAAACCAGGACATTTAAGTCTATCGCCGGGACGGCGGAAAAACATGCTAAAATCGGGACTGTCCCGGCTAAACCGGGACGTATGGTAAGCCTAGCTATTGTGTAACTCCAACACTAAATAAATTGAAAAGATTCTGCAAACGATTTATTCAAAGAAGTGTTATATATTAAGGATTAATGACGTTTCACTATCACAATTACTATACCACTATACAACGTAGCCTACTGTAAATTCAAATTTATAAATCGAGGTTTCGTGTCGCAAAATCTTGCGCGAGACAGACGCTTGACGGAATAAAAACCGTGTCCCCGCGAATAAATATATATATATCAGAGAAATCATGACGAAATATCAGATTTCATAGAATCCATATACAGACAACAATCTTTAATCACTGGAAATGTCAACGCAATTGGTCCAATAGTCAAAAAGAAAGATTCTTTTGTGTCTAATAAGTAACTCAATTCCCCAATTCGTTAAAAATTGTCAATAAACGATTCGGGGGCGCATTTTCAAACTTTGCCATGCGCGCCATTTTAGGCAGATAAACCACCGTCCATGATTATATGTAGGCAATATATACCTTATTTTAAACGTAAAGACAATACACATAGGCCGTAGCGTTATATTTTGCAAAACAATTTTGCGTAAATTGACGCTCTATAAATTAGGAATTTCTATTGCTATTCGCGCCCTAGCACCACAGTACGCGGTTTTAGTGCATGTGATAATTGTGAAATTATTTATCAACTTCAAGAAAATGGAACTTTTCTTTCGGAATAGCCACCGCGATACCTATACAGTATGTCTGTAACAGTGGCGTAGCAACCCCCCCCGCAAAAATATTCCGTGGAAATGACCCTAAAAACTCTCGGACATAAGCTAAAACAAAGCTTTTTTTATTTGGTCAAAAAGCATAACATGTCGCTATAAAAAGGTAATGGCAATCTAAAATTTGCCGTTTATTTTGGTTACTTTGATTTTTTCATACGTTCTTCCTCTTCTGCCCTTTTTCTGCGTTTCTGTGCGCCACTGAGAGGTTTTGCTTTCGACATCATTGTGACAGCCTTCGTAATTTTGCCGGCGCGATCAAACCACAAGACGTCGAAAATCGACGACTTCCTGGCATTGTTAGGTAACAAAACGATTTGAGCAGAACTTACGTCAACATTATAAGATGTGCATTACTTGTTTTGCACTACAGCTTTTGGTTTGCGGCTTAAATTTCTAAATTCTAACCGTTTGGGCCCCTTTGTGCTGTGGGCCCTCCCGCGACCGCGGGGGTTGCGGGGGTGGATGCTACGCCACTGGTCTGTAATATGTATTATGCCCGTAACGGCAAACACTGTAAAAGAAATTCTGTAAATATTTTGCAAATTATATTGTGTGTTGTCATTTTTACAATAAATTCACAATAAATTATTTCGTCTACCTTAACGAATATATATATATATATATAATGAAAATAGGAGGTTTCAGCTGTAATTCAGTGTTATGAACTGACAAGTTTCGTTTTGTAGTATTTATATATATATAAGTTAATTCGGGAAAAAAAGTCTTCTTATTAATCAGTTTACAATTTAAATTGCCTTTTCTATAGGAACAATTCCATAACATTAACCGGTACTCAGTGGTATTTTATAAGGCAAAGGATATTTAGTTTAATTACATAACATGGAAAATGCCGTGCATTCAAGTGCGATAAAGTTGAATTTCACAATTAGTTTTCCTTCGGTGGCAGTGCGCCAGATTTTGTGCCAAAAGCCCTGAAACCTTTATACCGTTGAAATATTAATGAATGACTGACATATCGACCGTTGAGCATTTCATTTTTTTCGTGCGACTTCACTTACACTTTCAGTATATATTACAAATATATACGAAACACCCGAAGACATTTCCTAATGTTGTAATTAAGTGGTTATCTCAAGAAAATCAATGTCTATAGTCCGTCCTATTTGTTGCCTAACAAGTTCGCCCAAATATCCATAACATTCATCGTAAGAACATAATATTTACAATGATAAGCCTGACAGTTTTCCCACAGAGATTTACGATATTTTTGGTCGATTTTAAATGCTTAATTTATTGGATAAATGCTTGCATCATTTATCATAGACATACAAACATAAGCAAAAGTAAATCAAGATAGTAAAATCAAATACAGAACGATTAATCGAATAAATTGGGGTAGTTCATCGTTTTAATCCAGAGTTATAACATCGAAGAAACGAATGGAGATGATCATGAATATGTTTTGCCATATTGTTTCTATCAACTCCTATCGTTTGTTGTTATGATAAACAACCCCTCCATTTTTACTGGTTTGGTGAAAGTTGTACAATTATATATCATCGATAGCAAAATGTTCATAACCGTTTTGTCAGCAGTCTCTCAAACCAGCAAGAAAATACTGAACACCGTCCATATTTACTTCTCAATCTTTCCCGGCATATTTAACAAATAATTCATTTCATAAATTAATACTGAATAATCATAATGATACAGAACATACAATCAATAAACACAGTGCAACATAATAAGGATGCATCAAATACAGTAAACAGTATTACCGAAATGAACGAAAACTATACACAAAATTATACAAGTTTGAGAAGATCGATTATCTTGGATTCCGTGTTGCCTTCCATTTCGTCCGATACTAGTTCGTCGAACCGTGGATCCGAAACACTTCGGGATTTCGCTTGATCATTGACTGCTTGCATGAGTAGCAAAGGAAGGTTTTCTGCCGAAACTTTTTCGTCGGTTCGTGGTATTTCGTGAAGTATATCCTTTTCGGGGTCTGATGTTTGACGCAATGACATACCTTCGGCATCGTATAATTCTGGAATGCCTGAAAAAAAATTTATTTCAATTTGTATTTTACTTATACTAAAAAATAGGCGAACGAAATTTTTTGAAAATAATAACTTAAACTCTTTCAAAAATCATATACATACATATTATGCGAGGTTGGTATGGAAATATGATTCGATATTTGGAATGGACTTCCGAAGTAATTAAAATGCATTTTAATACCTTCAGTGTTCGAGTGAATATCTCGCTTCATGTCAACCAGATGCCACGGTGTACTATGAGGTTCATTTCGCAGAACGACTCCTAAAATATATTTTGTATACAAATATAATAATACACTTCTAAAAATAAGTAATAACAAATGTAATAAAACTTTATAATAAACTCTGAAATAGTTGGGTATGTTTTGGTATACGGACAGACATTCTGTGTGATTGTATCTCATTTCTCAGTTATATTTTGGCGCTCCAGAAGTGTGTAGGTAATTAATTTTGTTCGCCTATTTTACATCAAGTTGTGTAAGAGGATTGAAACCTATGGACAGGGGCTATATTCACTTGACTAACACAGACAGTCCCGAACTCGTAAAAGAACTAAAATAAGGAAAATCGAAATAAAATTATGGCCTAACCCTAACTTGGTACACATATAACGGGAGTACCCAAATTTGTTTTAAATTGTAACAACATTTTTGCCCACTTGCCCATGAAGTAATCCGAATTAGCATATCTAATTGTTTATATTATTTCAACACACCGGCAATACTGCCATAGTCCAGAGATCCATCACTATGGGTCGGAATCGTCTTTACTTTCCACGATCTTTTACCTTTCACGTTTTCTAAGATGGTGAGAAGCATATAACGTCGCAAGAGTTGTTGCATTCTGGAACTTCGCGATCCATTCAAACCAATGTCAGCATTAGTGGATCGCTTCCTAAATGTATACAAATATATGTATAGAAATATATTTACTATCTCGCATTGAAATAGTATTATTATCTTAATAATTTGTCGTTACGGGTATTTGTAATCATTTTGTAGACGCCTAATTCTTTTAAAGTTAATTTTCATTTCCCTCTTGCCAAATATATAGAAAGCGAATACACAAGAACTTTGTGCACCTATTGAATGGGCGGAAAACAAGTTACACCTAAAAAACTAATGCCAGAAATATTAATGCCTGTTTTATAGTATGCGCCAGTTGAAGTCGAACTTAGTTTAAATGACTTGAGTAAAATGATATTGCTTCGAGTCTAATATAAGTAAACTAATATTGTACAAAATGATACTCGGCCAAAAAACTTGGAGATGATCCGGCCATATAATTTAAAAAAAGTGACTTCGACCAAACCGAATTCTTGTAAAGAACTTGTTTACCTTGGTGGTTACTATCATTTTTATTTGAAATATTACATTCACGGTCATTGTTTATCCAAAATGTGGCTAGGATATTCTGTATTTTATAATTTTATGTTTCTGTTAATCTTATACGTTGATTGTTATTGCTCCCCTTTCGTCACTTCATCTTTCTCATGAGAATTACATACTAAACAAAGAAAGATGGAGCCGATTGGGGAAGATATCAAAAGCAAAATGCCCAATTGTGCATATTATTACCTGATTGCGTTTTCACTGTTGATTATTCTTGATATATCTGTGTTGATGTTTTCATTCTCCTCTCGTAAGGGTAAAGACAACGCCGACAAAAATGACAAAGTGAAAACGCAGAATAATAGGATCATCCTCATAGTTGTTGTCAGTTGTTAGGACAAAGTTAAATTTTTAAGTTTAATTCTATAAAACAAAAATACCAGTTTTCTTATTATTGACTCGCAATAATGAAATGGCGATGGAATGAGACGTAGCTCAACAACAAAAACAGAAATATTCACTAAATGATACAAATGTTATGACTCTGTTTTTAATTTTTATATGGGAGGACCACGAAAAAAAACGGAACCCAGTCCATTCGGAACATTTTGTATATGTTTCGTTTTTGGGGTCACTTCGTAAGATAACAAGTTCATCACCTAGTAGCTACGAACGAGTGTGAGCAAAAAAATATTTGAGCGAAATACTTAAAACCAAGAGCGCCTTTTTAAGGCCTAATGGTTGACGATGATGAAAAAATTGTAAGAGACCGTATTAAATTGCCTTCGGAATTTCCTTAGGAAACTAAGCAAGACTGGGTTAGACTATGCTATATTTTGTGTACACTAGAGTCGAGGTTGGTAATCAAGATCGAGCGAAACAATCTTATCGAGAATCGTACTCGGGCCCTTAAACATCACACAGATATATTACTCGACCACATTGTGAAATAATCAATCTTTCTTGTTAACTAAATAACTGAACGTATATAGAAATGTCGAAATTACTTCACGCTGACAAAATTCTTACTGCTTGTAACGTTTTTACATGCAAAGGAGAAAGCGTTACGTTTAAAATACCCAAAAGATATTCGACATAATATTGTACTGTTTTCACATCCTGGATCTCCCCAACTTATTCCGCAATCTGCACGGGAGTAGAAACATCTGTCTGTTTTATCGACTAACGCTGAAAGCGAACGCCTTTTTCGTTTTCTCGTCACATAATAAATAACAGCATTAGCTAATACCGACGAAAAACCGATCTGATTATAGTTTGAACCGAAAATACGAATTCGAGCTTTTGTTGATCTAATAAGCATCAAGAACGTTTTGTTATAAGCGTGTTTCTTGTTTCGGATCCTGATAAATTTGTTGAAAAAAACATTAACCTATTGCATAAGATGCAAGCATATTAGGCTGTAATCACAAGATGCCATTTGTATTTCCATTCTTTTCAACGCAAGTGCAAATTAGCATTTTATTAACGAAGGCGCAATGTCATATTGACTAAAACTAGTTGACGCTTAAAACCATCCCCACCGAAAATCATTTGAAAACCAAATGATTTATTCATACAGAAAAACCTCCAATGGCAGAATAATCAAGCCGGTATTTTGTGAATGAAAGCGACCATTGACACGAGTATACAGCAGGTATAACCAATGGCTAGGTGTGTTGTTTCAGCCAAACACAATCAAATTTTAATGCCTGTCGTCTTAGGACATGACCAATTCACAATTCGCTCCTTTGTGTTATTCGAGCACGAATGGTTCGCAAACGATTTATCGAAAGCAATGATATGAGAACAATTGGACTATATGTTGGGTTCATGAGTCATTTTTTCTTACGCAGCCCTATATTCGGCTATGGGCGTCATTCGAAATTTCGTCACGAAATTTTAAATTATGATAACATGAATATTTTTGTTCAATGAATACAGTAGCTCATTGTTGGTTTCTCAGGTAAATATGTTTTTCTAAAAATTACCACAGAGTAGGGTCAAATTTAATTCGGATTAGTAGTCAAGAGTCGTTTTCGGCCAACTAAAAGCAGACAAAAAGGTTTTTGAGGGGCGAAAACTAAGTGGGTAAAAGCTTTCAAGCGCGATCGTCACCACTCCACCAATTGTAACATTTGGGATTTTAGCCCACCACATTACGTCTGTACGAGATTCTTTTCCAATCGAATATTAATCTTAAATACCGGATTACTCACAAAAACCAACAAAAAGCAGGTAAGAAATCAAACCCAGGTTAATTCTATTTTTCAAATTGCACCCGATTTTTAACCATGTGCCGATCAGAGATTATTACGTCAACTTAACTATCGCTTATTTTCACGTTTCGCTACGTTGACAAATATCCAATTAAATCTAACGACATTTTTCGAATTGCTGTTTCACGAAATAAATGTAGTATCGCAGACTAAAAAGTAAAGAGATTTCTGAATTATTTGCTTGACACAACGCCCTAATCAAAAAATGGAGTACAAGTTATACACGAAGACGAAACGAACTAATGACAAATCTTGCAACAATATTTAGAAATATTCCCCCAGCGGCATAAATATTCAGGCAGTAATATACAAGTTTGTCGAATTTAAAGTTGTCGATTTCCAAATCTGATTAGTTAATAAATACCGAAAACTATCTTCACTTCGATGAATGAATAATAAACTAAATATTTAGTTGAAATATTTTACGCAAAAAACGACAATTCTACTGACAATCTTTCCTCACAATGCAATATTATAGAAAACCTGGTTCAAATGAGGAATTTTATTTCAAATTTCGACCTGCGGTACCAGAGTATATCTCATTCTGCTTATGTTAAATTCTATTTGGAAAACCAATATTTATACGCGCAGTTTCCATTGTTTCTCCCAAAACATTTACACCTGTTTTTCTAATTTCTTCCGCAAAAATACATATTGATTTATAAAATAAATTGAGGCGAAAATATTACAATTCACCAAAATATATTAAAACGACTAATAATTATACGAAAAGAAAGTCTGCTTTGTTGTAATGTGCTCTAAATTTGAACGAAGCACAATTCCCTTTTACCTCCTCAATGATAACGCATAATACGTCATTAATTCTGGTCAGTCGTCATCTGCCTTATTACCTCAGTTGAATGTATTGTTATTATTGTCGTAGAAAATCGTAGTCTTAGAATCTTCATTAGAAATTCAATACCTAATGAGAAAATTGTTTTAACATTTAAATGTCCGTTGGTTGACATTGTGTTTTGAATTTAAATTCATTAAAATGGAAGATGTAGAAAAAATTCACTAATACGATGGCATGCTTTTCCCTCTTCCCTCCATATGCAATACCTATAAATTGTAATAAAATAATTGTACTTCTTAATTATAGTTTGCGAAAAAGTGATACCCAAATAAAATACTAAGTTTCTTATACTCATTAATTATTAAACATATTCAAGTTGTCAGAAAGTTTTTTTTAATGCTCGACGTGAAAATCTAAAAGTAATAAAACGTGTAGAATGCGTAATGCGAATAATCACTCATGTCGTTGGTTCCTCGCCCAAGAGCACTAATGCAGTCTTCATACAGATGGTTAAACAGTTTTATTCCCAAAACGCAAAGCATTAGCTATACGTGCGATTTCCATACTCAGGCATGTATACTTTGATTTCAATACAATATTTGTCAGAATTTCTACATCTTCACAGATTCAAACCGGAAAATTTATCATGTCGTTATACGCTAATGGCAAGAGTAAATCAGTCTACAATGATTAAAAGTATCTACGTTTAATCTTCGTTGGAGTATATTTGTATGTAATTACAAGCTCGTTGCTAAAGTCTGTGTTTGATAAATTTTCCAACTAATTAAGTGTTTTTGTCGCACAAAACTTAAATCGGCGGTTTACTTGCTATTGAAATATAGTTTAAATGATTGAGTCGTGTATAATTTGTATGTTATGGAGGACAAATTGAACTGTAATTGATTACCTTTTTGGTAGAAGATGTGACGAACGAATTTCAAAAAAAAAAATGATTTATTTATTTTAATATTTATGGTTGAATTTTTTTAGCAGGGTCAACTTATATTTTGTGTCTGTGGCACAGCTTACTGCAACCATTATTTTTTTTAAATATAGTTGTTTGTCATATTAGAAAGTAAAAAACAATGCGTTGCAATCTTGCAAAACAGTTTGATTTTGTTTAAACAGATGATTTATTGACTATCTATCCATCAACAGTTCTTTTTGCCGTTTTATTTTAATCCCGCGTCCACGTAAAACATTGCATGGTGTGGTCGATTCGTCAAGTCGTAATGGACAAGTCTAACAAAGCTGCGCTGTTTACAAGTATCACTGAAGATGATAGCATTTAGCGTGACAAGCGCAGCTTTGAAATATGAGGATTGACGGCTCTCGAGATAAAAGTTGAGTTGTTTGAAGTGTAAATTATGGACATTATCGTCACGGCTTCCTACAAATAACAATATAAACACTTGAAAGTTCATGAGGTCATCTGTCCTGAATTGTTAACTTTTGTTCAGATGTTCACCGTTCGCAAAAATGACGTAAAATTGTCGACTGCGGTATTGTTCAGTAAAATAACAAATGACATCAGTTATGATAACTCTTACAAAATTTACTTATACAAATGACCACTTTTTATGCCCCTAATAGAAAATAACGACATCAAACCAAAAGTTCTATAATACGTCGGCAAAGACGCTTTGATCAATGTTTACTGTTTATCTGGACATGACACCTTACGAACCGTTGGATAAATAAACAACTTATTATGGTTACATGGTCCTCTCGTCTGATTGCTGAACCGCGTAAATGTCTATTGCAAAAGTTAATAATCTGTCTAGAAGGACAATAGCACACTTTAGTTTCTTTCCCAGCCTATTATCATTGTAGCTCGTTTTAATATAAAATGAAAACTGTTGCAAATGAAAACGTTTATTCTTGTTCGATCGATGGATATGGGGTCAGGAGTTCAAGCTTGAAAAAATAAGTCTTCAAAGCTTTTTCGTGATAACTTATAAAGCGTCCAGAACAGTGGTTCACAAACTTTGGGGCGCGCCCCACGAGAGGGGGCGTATACAATTTTTTTAGGGGGCGTGAAGCTAATAAAAATTAGTAGATATGTTGGATATGATCTTACCCGCCTTATTTTGAATATTTACATTTCAAAACTTTTTAATTATTCCATTATCTATGTATCTTCAACAGGTTTTTTTGAATAAAACATATTTTCGCCTTACTATCTGTTATTTGTAGCATATTGTTAGATAGTTCTTTTTGAGGTGGGGCTGTGTTAAATGAATCCCACTCATACATCGGTGGCAATGTTTTGTATAAACGCTTGCGCGAAATAAATATAATATTTTAACAACAAAAATGGGGGGAAATTGGACTTTGAAATAAA